AATTCTCAATTGCTTCATGTGCACGTGAAAGGTGGGCAATAAAGATGGGAGCCTGGGAAAGAATCGGTGCATTCGAGTTACGTGGTTGGCAAATACTATGGAAACTACAAGGGACAGTCACAAGAACGAGCAAATCTGCCTCACAAGGAGGACCACTGGGATGCTCCTTAGAAACGAGGATGGCCAGACTCCCTCTCACTTACTTTGGACGCCTGATCAGGAGGGACCAGTCCCTGGAGGACAGCATTCCCATTACAGCAGAGGGTCCGTGGAAATGAGGAAGCCCTCCGTGAGATGGATTGACAGGGTGGCTGCAATGATGGGCTGAAACATAGCGATGGTTGTGAAGATTGGCACAGTGTTGGGCAGTGTATGGTTCGACTGTACACAGGGTCCCTATGAATTAGAACGGACTGGATAGTACCTAACAACAACTGTTTATATGAATGTATGTGTACATAGACACATATATGTGTGTGTATAAACACCTGAGGGGACTTCAAACATTGTGGAAAATGGAATCGAAAGACAATGCGATCTTCCCACAAACTGTTTGAAGCCTCGTCCCTTGTGTGTGTGTGTGTGTGTGTGTGTGTGTGTGTGTACATGTGTAAACTCATCCCAAATCCATTGCCATCAAGTTGATTTCCACTCATAGCAATTCCTTTGGGTTTCAAGGTCTATAAATCTTTATGGGAGCAAATAGTCTCATCTTTCATCATGGAGCTGCTAGTGGATTTGAACTGCTGACATTGTGTATTACAATCCATTGCTTAACCCACAGCTCTGTATATATCACTTTCATTCAATTTTTCAATGAATTTTTTGATGCCCCCTCATGAATATAAATTGTCTCTATATACCATATATGCCAGGATACATCATCATTACCTGATGTAATAAACATATAGTCCGTTTGCTCGTTGAATAGTAAGAGAATTGTACTTAGGCATTTTCATGACTTGATTTTCTCTATACTCTCTACAGGACTGTGGGGTTCAGCGTTTGCGTCCTTCACTGGTAAAGGAAAGGTGGGCCTTAGAATCCCCCTAACCGTCACTCTGTTGGAAAAGAGCTGTATCAGTCTGCTTCTAGAAAGATTTAACTCAAAATTCACTGCCATCAAATCAATTATGACTCCTAGAGGCTCCGTAGGACTGAGTAGAAATGCCCTGTGGGTTTCCAAAGCTATGCATTGAAGCTGGAGCAGGAGTAGCAGGCCGTATCCTGCAGAGCAGAGAGTGGGTTTGAAGTGGTGACCACCATACGCTCAGAACGCCTTCGATCACGTTTCCCCAGCTTCAAACTCCACCAGGGAGTTCCACTCTGTCCTATGAGATCACTGAGAGTGAGAAGGGATTCTACATCCAGGGTTTTATACTTTCTACAAAAGTGATAACCTCATGTTCCCACTTTTCCATCCTCAATTTCCCAGCTGGCACTGTGGCTCAACATTACGACCTTCACGTGGAAGCAAGTTAAAAGAGAAAAAAGAAAAATTCAGCTAGGATTTATAGCACTTTATCTAGATTCCTCTCATTTTTTTCCTTGTCTCTACCTTGGCTATTGAATAATCTTTCTCTCTATTTCCACTAACACTAAAGGAAGCCTCAGAAGACACCATATAACCTTTACCTCCAAGGTAGGTTTGAGCCCTGGGAGAATCATCTAGAGGCCAAACTCAAAAGATTTTCAAATGGCCTTTTTATGGGTTTCTTGCCCCATGGGTTCTATAATAGAGTCAAAGTTTCTGTTGCAAATTGCTGTATCACTAAATACAGTAATAGTGATAAGAACTCCAAGATGCACCATCTAGTAAGAGCTGACCATATTATAACGCTAATTGCTTATAATTGACATTCATATGGTCTTACCCTGTAACTGAAGTCCTCTTTTTGTTTATGTAAGTGTTTAAGCAGAGCCCAGGGAAGAGAGAAACATAGCTGCAATACAACATACTTACTGACAGATCTCAACGTTTTGGGTTTGAGAAGACAACCACGAAAATTCAAGCGCAGCACATTGAGACGCCACCTTTGCAAAGTCATCACCACATATTTATCAATGGCCATATGTTTTAATGTGGAAAAGTCAATCTGGAATAGAAGAGCAAAAAGCATTAATAAATAAGACAGATGTGTTTCTTCAGGGACACATTTAAAATATTTTCAAGTACCCAGTACTGCCACCACTTGTCAGTCTGTCATATTGGGGTGGCTTGTGTGATGCTGGAAGCTATGTCACTAGTATTTCAAATGCCAGCAGGGTTGCCCATGGTGGACAGGTTTCAGCAGAGTGTCCGACTAAGACAGACCAGAAAGGAGAGGTAGTCCACTTCTGAAAGCTTTGCCCACGGAAACCTTAGGAATAGCAGCGAGGCATTGTCTGACAACTGCCAAAAGAGGCCCCCTAGGCTGGAAGGGGGCCTGCGGGAGGAGCTGCTACCTCAAACTAAAGTCAAACTTAATGATGACAGTGGAGTAACGTCCTGGGGACCTTCATTTGCTGAAGTGGTGTGACTCACAATGACAAGAAATGCCTGCAAACATCCATTCATCGTTGGTATGTGGAATTAATCCAAGAAGATTCAGAGGATCAAAGTGAAAGGGACTATCTAAAGGCATGGGCACTGGCCATTGTGATTCAGACAAGAAAGGGTTTTTATACGCAAAGAAAAAACCTTTGAAGGGTTACCAGGGACGGGAGGGGGAGGGAGAAGAGGGGAAGCAATGGTAGACAGGTGTTGGTCCCATGGATGTCTTCTTTGGTAAACTCTCTCTTCGTGTCCTCTGTCCATTCTTTAATTAGGTTATTCGTTCATCTTTTATCTTTTTCTTTGGGGGTTTGAAATTTTCTATAGGTTTTAGAGATCAGTGCCTTGTCAGATATGCCATGAGCAATTGCTTGTTTGTTTGTTTACCAGTCTGTGGCTTTTCTTTTTGTACTTTTGCTGAACTCTTTTGCTGCACATGAATTTTTCAATTTTGAGAAGGGTCTAGTCATCTACTCTGTCTCCTGCTGGGTGACTGTTTTTCCTCGTGTTTGATAGTGTGTTGATGCCCTGTATTGGGGGGCCTCTTCTGAACTTTGTATTTGGGGGGTCTAATTGTTCTTTGGTGATCTTTCTAGTTCTATGGTTTACATTTAGGTCTTTAATCTAGCTGGGATTTGTTTTTTTCTATATGGAGTAAGATTCTTCTGCAAATGGAAATCCAATGTTGCCAACATTTGCTGAAGAGAGTATTTCTTCCACACTTAGCATGTTTTGGTCCTTGGTCAAAAATTACTTGTGTGTAAGTGCATGGCCTTACTTCTGGGTTCGCTATTCTGTTCCATTGGTCTATGTATCTCTTGTTGCACCTGGACCAGGCTGCTTTGACTATGACAGCAATGTCACAGATTTTGAGATCAGCAAATGAGAGGGCTACTGTTTTGTTCTTTTGTAGTGCTTTGCATATCTTGAGTTTCTTTACTTTTGTTGGGATAACATTTGAATCTGAATAAGTATGATCAATTATGTCATCAGGCAATGTTGCAATGGCTGTCTGAAGTCCAGTCAATAGCTGACTTCACCACCCCCTACCTCCTTACTTGCTAATGATTAAAGGACAAGTGACACCATGTACTTCGCCTGGGCCAAGAAGCCAAGAAGAGCTGACAAGACCAGAGCGCTAGGTCCATAATGATCTCATCTTTACATTGAATCTGACCACCATCCCATTCTTGACTGCATTGTTATATTCTCATTCCATGCATCACTGGTAAGCAGAGAATGTGCTTCAGAAAGACTCTGCAGTCAGTGAAAGCACTCATCTTCTCTCAAAGGAACCCTGGTGGTGTCATGGGTCTCAGTTCAAACCCACCAGCTGCCACCCTGGAGTGGGGAAAAATGAGTCTGCAGCCTGCAGGGGCAGTTCTATGCAGGTCTAGTCATCTGTCCAAGAGGGTCCCTATGAGTCAGAATTGACTCAAAGGTTTATTTTGGGGATTTTTTTTTGGTCTTACATTCATTTTTGTTTGTTTGTTTAAGGCAATAGTTCCCACACTAGCATACGTCATCTGGTTGTCAAAACTTGAATTGTCCGGAGAGAATTGTAAAACACAGGGTGCAAGGTGCTACTTCCAGAGTTTCTGAACCCCTCGGCCAGGGTGAGACCCATAACTTGTGTTTCCAAGTTACTGGGGTGATGCTGACTTTGCCGGTCTCTGGACAACCCTTTGAAAATCAACGGCTTAAAGTGCAAGCCTCTGACTTATATGACATATTTAGGGGTGCTCTTAATAAAAACTTGTAAAAAGGGGGAAATATACCTAAATTTCCTGGAAGAGAAAGAATACACACAATATTAAGATCAGGACAGAAGCCGTGCAGAAGTTCGAAAAATCCAACACTTCTGCCCACAGCCTCACAGGTAAGGAGAGCAAATATGAGCCGGTGGCAGTGAAAGGCAAGTCAGCACAGAGAGCCTCCCGTGCTCAGCAGATTTCTCTGGTCACAACTGGATGTTGCCCCTCCTCTTCGATGCATTTGCCTACCTTTTGGGGGTGAGGTTTCAAATGTGGCGCAATTATAAACGAACACTTTGAGCACCAAGAATAGCTTTGTTCAGAAGACCACGGAAAAATGAAAGGTTGAGAACTTTACCTTTTAGCTGAAAATATTATCAGTGCTTTGACACCGGTGTTATGGGATATCAGCCAGTCCACACTGCTCAGGGCACACAAAAATCTTTGTGTTCTTCGACTGTGCATACCTTCCTCATCAGCCAGGTACACTGAAATCTTATCACAATCCATACATACATCCATTGTGTCAAGCACATTTGTACATTTATTGGCCTCAACATTCTCAAACATTTACTTTCTACTTGAGCCCTTGCTATCAGCTCCTCATTTTCCCCCTCCCTCATGAACCCTTGATAATTTATAAATTATTATTATTTTGTCATATCTTACACTGTCCGATGTCTCCCTTCACCCACTTTTCTGTTGTCCATCTGCCAGGGAGGGGGTTATATGCAGATCCTTCTAATCAGTTCCCCCTTTCTACCCCACCTTCCTTCCTCTCGGTGTCACCACTCTCACTAGTAGTCCTGAGGGGTTCATGTGTCCTGGATTCCCTGTGTTTCCAGTTCCTATCTGTACCAGTATACATCCTCTGGTCTAGCTGGATTTATAAGGAAGAATGGAATCATGATAGTGGTGGAGAGGAAGCATTTAAGAATTAGAGGAAAGTTGTATGTTTCATTGGTGCTATACTGCACCCTGACTGACTGGTCTCCTCCCCGAGACCCTTCTGTAAGGGGATGTCCAGTTGCCTACAGATGGGCTTTGGGTCCCCACTCTGCACTCCCCCTCATTCACAATGATAGGATTTTTTGTTCTTTGATGCCTGATACCTGATTCCCATGAACACCTTGTGATCACACAAGCTGGTGTGCTTCTTCCATGTGGGCTTTGTTGCCTCTGAGCTAGATGGCTGCTTGTTTATCTTCAAGCCTTTAATACCCCAGATACTATCTTTTGATAGCCAGGCACCATCGGCTTTCTTCACCACATTTGCGTATGCACCCATTTGTCTTCTGGGATCTTATCAGGAAGGTGAGCATCATGGAATGCCAGTTTAATAGAACAAAGTGTTCTTGCATTGAGGAAGTACTTGAGTGGAGATGGACCACATATTCTAACCTGCCCTTCCCATAGTCTGTGCCCAAGACAGTCTGTGCCCATGTAAGGGAAGGAGACACACAATAATGAACCCAGGATGGGCTTCAAACCACCCAATGCAATGAATCTTTATGTTTAAATCCAAAAGATAATGCTAAATTTATTCTTATTCTTTAAATTTAGAATATATGAGGACTGTATTTCTTCACTGCCAGCCAGTCAATGATGACTCAAAGAGAGACTCTTTGTGGGTTTCTGAGACGGTAACTGTTTATGGGAGTAGAAAACCTCCTCATTCTCCTGCACAGTGGCTGGTGGTCTCTAACGGCTTCTGTCAGTCCAATGTGTAAGCCACTACTTCACTACAGTGCTAGGGCCCTTTGATTACCAGGATAAGAAAACTGCTTCAAACAGCATCGACTTACAGCATTCCACAGTGCACTTCTTTGTGTCATTGACATCCAGGAGTGACGAACTTGACTACATGTTGCCAAATCTCTTATGCTGAGGTAATGGAAAATCTAAACACAAAGAAAAGAAATAGTAGGTTTCGAAACATGTGCTCTCTGATGTACTGCTTTCTTTCACCATTTTTAGGTGGAAAATGGAACACTTAAATATTGCAGCAACCCCCCACCCCCCCACCCCCAAATCAAACCCACAGCTATTGAGTCCATTGTTACTCAGAGCAACCTTAAATAGGGTTTTGGAGAGTCTAGATCTTTATGGCGGCAGATAGCCTCAATTTTCTCTGGTGACACAATTGGTGGGTTTGAACTATCAGTCTTAAGGGAGTGAGTTAGCTCAATGCTTAACTCACAGTGCCCTTAAACTTCAGTAATAGAAGTTTAAATGGTTGATTTGTATTTGAAGATAAGACTTTTATCTGAAATACTGAATTTTATCTGCAAAAGTCTTTGATACAATGTGATCCTTACAGTTTAAATATAATTCCAGAGAATTAATAACGAGACTATGTTTGTGAGACCTGGTAGGGCATGATCAAGGGGAATGTAACAAAGAGGAAGTGCTGAAATCCTGGTGGGGACTGAGCATGATAGTGGGACAGGAGGAGAATCAAGGAAAATAGAGAAAAGAGCTGGGAGGCAAAGGGTATTTATAGAGGTCTAGAAAAAGACATGTAGATATGCAAATATATTTATATGAGGGTGGGGAAATAGATCTATGAGCCTATATTTATAGGTTTAGTATTAAGGTAGCAGAAGGACATTGGGCCTCC